CCACATAAACACATTTCATTACACCAAATACACAAAATAATGTTCTTTTTAGCAGCGTCATATGACCCCTTTAAAAAACACTTTAATGTCTTTAAAGCGTTAACAGATTGTTTTTATTTTATTTTGTTTAGTAGCCTAAAATTTGGCCAAAATCTAGAAAAGATGATGCTGTATTGGCTGTGACTAACCCCAGATCTCTTTCTGTTTTGTTTTTTTGAGTAGAAAACTCTGTACTTTATTATTATTATTATTATTATTATTATTATTATTATTATTATTATTATTGATATTATAGGCAAATAATATAAAACAAAAATAACGTTATTAACTGGTATTTTTTTCTAGGCAAAACGATAATAATACAGACGAACGCAGGAACAGAAACGTTAAAATATCGATTCTGCTCGGAGTGAACCGATTGGATTGTTTTTTTTTTCTTTTCAAGCCCCGCCTAACAGATATCACTATATTTCTCCACCTGTTAATCACAGTACATTAAGGAAATTGTCTTGTATTACAGATTTTCTGAAATGTTTAAATGTGCAAATTAGGCATTGTCTAATTAAATTACATACATTTTCAGAAGAGAAATCTGAACAGTGGATCAAAATGTTCAGATTTGTTTATAAATTTTGAACGTACAAAGTGTTAAAAAAATCTAATTTCTTGTATAATTTTGCTTACATATTAGTCAGAATTGTGAGATTCCACGTGTCCATGGTGAATAAAAATATTACATCTACGTTACGAGTAGGCTAATAAAATACATTTTTGAATGTTTTCTTTCCATTAGTCTGAAAGAAAAGTTATGGAAGCAAAATAAGCCCATAATCTCAAAATTGACCTTTGGCTGAAAAACAAACAAACAAACAAAAAACAACGCATTTGCCTTAAAGGGGTCATGACCTTTTTTTTTTTTAAGTTTTGTACTAATTTATAAGTATTAGACTATTATCTGTCCGATTTTCACCCCTCTCTTCTGAATGTTCCGTTTGGATGGGTGTGGCGCGTTCTAGACTCAGACGTAAAAGCCCACTGCTATGATTGGCTAACAGTTTTGCATATTAAAGTTTCAATGCCCCCATCATAACACATGTGGAATTGTTTTAAAAAGTTCCCATGTTAAGAAAAGGCAGCTGGTGAAATTCAGCCATACATGTTTGAGCCAGTATCTGATCCTGAATCAGAAGACAAAGAACCTGCACGTCAAATGCCAAGGACACAACAGCCTGCAACATTAATCA